GCACCACGCCCGGGGGCCTTGCACTGCAGGTGTCAGGAGGGCCAGGACCGCCGGGGGGGGGGGGCGGGGGGCAGGGTCTGCAGAGGGCTGGGAGCGCCAAGCCGACAATGCAGTGTTCGACCCTGACGTCTGTGAGCCGGGGGAGCAGCGAGCCCACCCACCACCCAGTCGCTGGCAGGGGGGCCCGACACTGACCCAAACAGGGCACTTTCCTCCCTCCTGCAAAGGCGCCACAGAGCCACGTGGGCTTGACCCCGCGGGAGGTCAAGGAGGGACAGCGGAGCTGGTTTGTCAGGTGCAGGAGGAAAAGCATGTTGAAGAGGTCACGCAGCCCGACAGGGAGCCTGACACAGGATGTCCCGACCGCAGAGATGGGGGACACTGGGGGACAGGCGCCTGGGGTCAGAGCCCCGAGATCCAAGGTCAGCGGACTGATTGGCCAATCGCCTGAACAGCCATGAAGGGCTAGTACCTATGAGGTGACGTTTCAGATCACAGCCTGCAGGCCACGTCCCCGGGAAGCCACCAGGGCTCCGTGGACACCGGCCAGTCCCCTCGCCATCACTTCCTGGGACCGCAGAGTGCAGAATGGTTTCCCCGCATGGGGACGGGGCACGAGCTCTGGCCCCTGGGATTCTGGCGTGCTCGCAGAGTCCTCCCGCGTCAGAGAAAAGGACATCGCAGAAGCTACAAGACGCAGACGTCCGCTTAGGAGGCGGGAGAGTGGGGTCCGTCTGCACTCTTGAAAGGGTCTCGCGGTCACACCCGCCCTGCAGCGCACCCGGCCGCGGCTCCCCGCGCTTTCAGGGAAGCAAGAGCTCGCATTTTCCACAAATTTCACAAAAACTCAGGTGGTAATCAAAGTATTTCAATTATCCATCCACGTGTCCAACGGCTATTTTGTCTTGAGATGGAGGATCAGTATCTAAGCATTTGCTGTCTCCACAGAGAGAAGAGCCCAGGGAGGGGAGGCCCCTGTTCCCGACTCGGCAGCTTGGGTGACAACGCTGGGACCGCCAGGCGGCCGGGCCGATGTGCCCTGCGTGTGCCCCGCGAGTGTCCCGTGAGTGTCCCGTGAGTGCCCCGCCTGTGCCCCACGAGTGCCCCGCGTGTGCCCTGCGTGTACCCTGTGTGTGCCCCACCTGTGCCCTGCGTGTGCCCGGCCTGTGCCCCGCATGTGCCCGGCCTGTGCCCCACATGTACCCTGTGTGTGCCCCGCCTGTGCCCCACGAGTGCCCCGCGTGTGCCCGGCCTGTGCCCCACGTGTGCCCAGCCTGTTCCCAGCGTGTGCCCCACATGTACCCTGTGTGTGCCCCGCCTGTGCCCCACGAGTGCCCCGCGTGTGCCCGGCCTGTGCCCCACATGTGCCCAGCCTGTTCCCAGCGTGTGCCCTGCATGTACCCTGTGTGTGCCCCGCCTGTGCCCCAGTGCCCCGCGTGTGCCCGGCCTGTGCCCGTGTGCCCAGCCTGTTCCCAGCGTGTGCCCTGCGTGTACCCTGTGTGTGCCCCGCCTGTGCCCCACAAGTGCCCCGCGTGTGCCCGGCCTGTGCCCCACATGTGCCCAGCCTGTTCCCAGCGTGTGCCCCACATGTACCCTGTGTGTGCCCCGCCTGTGCCCCACGAGTGCCCGGTCTGTGCGTGAGTGCCCTGCCTGTGCCCCACAAGTGCCCCGCATGTGTCCTGCCTGTGCCCCGCATGTGCCCTGTGTGTGCCCCGTCTGTACCCCGCGAGTGCCTGGCCTGTGCCCTGCGTGTACCCTGTGTGTGCCCCACCTATGCCCTGCGTGTGCCCAGACTGTGCCCCGAGTGCCCGGCCTGTGCCCGTGAGTGCCCTGCGTGTGCCCGGCCTGTGCCCCACGTGTACCCTGTGTGTGCCCCGCCTGTGTCCCACAAGTGCCCCGCGTGTTCCTGGCCTGTGCCCCACGTGTGCCCAGCCTGTTCCCAGCGTGTGCCCTGCGTGTACCCTGTGTGTGCCCCGCCTGTGCCCCACGAGTGCCCCACGTGTGCCCAGCCTGTTCCCAGCGTGTGCCCCGCATGTACCCTGTGTGTGCCCCGCCTGTGCCCCACGAGTGCCCTGCATGTGCCCGGCCTGTGCCCCACGTGTGCCCAGCCTGTTCCCAGCGTGTGCCCTGCGTGTACCCTGTGTGTGCCCCGCCTGTGCCCGAGTGCCCCGCGTGTGCCCGGCCTGTGCCCCACGTGTGCCCAGCCTGTTCCCAGCGTGTGCCCCGCGTGTACCCTGTGTGTGCCCCGCCTGTGCCCCACGAGTGCCCCGCGTGTGCCCAGCCTGTTCCCAGCGTGTGCCCCACGTGTACCCTGTGTGTGCCCCGCCTGTGCCCCACGAGTGCCCCGCGTGCCCGGCCTGTGCCCCACGTGTGCCCAGCCTGTTCCCAGCGTGTGCCCTGCGTGTACCCTGTGTGTGCCCCGCGTGTGCCCGGCCTGTGCCCCACGTGTGCCCAGCCTGTTCCCAGCGTGTGCCCCACGTGTACCCTGTGTGTGCCCCGCCTGTGCCCCACGTGTGCCCCGCCTGTGCGTGAGTGCCCTGCCTGTGCCCCACAAGTGCCCCGCATGTGTCCTGCCTGTGCCCCTCATGTGCCCTGTGTGTGCCCCATCTGTGCCCCGTGAGTGCCCGGCCTGTGCCCTGCGTGTACCCTGTGTGTGCCCCACCTATGCCCTGCGTGTGCCCAGCCTGTGCCCCACGAGTGCCCGGCCTGTGCCCACATGTACCCTGTGTGTGCCCCGCCTGTGTCCCACGAGTGCCCCGCGTGTGCCTGGCCTGTGCCCCACGTGTGCCCAGCCTGTTCCCAGCGTGTGCCCTGCGTGTACCCTGTGTGTGCCCCGCCTGTGCCCTGCGTGTGCCCTGCGAGTGCCCGGCACCTGACAGCAGGCGGGTCCTCCCCCACACCCTCCCTCCTGTGCCCTCTGGGACACGCCGTGCGCCGGGCCGCGTGTACCTCCCCCGGTGTTCCCCTCCGGCCCCCGCGGGCGCTGGTCTTCCCAACCCCAACCCCACGGCGGGTGTCCCACAACACACTCCCTCCCCACGCAGCCGGCCCAGGCCTGCCCGGGAGCTCAGCTCCAGGAGCCAGTGCTGGTGGACGTGGCCGCGGGCCTTCAGGGGCATCTCAGTTAGCAGCTCGCAGCCCGCGTCTCCGCCCCCACCCTGCTCCCCTCTCAGTCTTGCTCGTCCCGGCAACGGCCCTCGTCGCCCTGACCAAACGCTGGGCCTCCCTGGCTCTTTCCCTTGTCTCACACCTACTTGTAACCTGTTAGCAAGTCTGACGGCCCCACTGCGGGTCCCTCCGGAAGCTGACCCCCTCCCGCATCTCGACACCACCTCGGTCGGCAGCACGTGGCCAGAGCCCACGTGTGCTCTTGAGTCCTGAGCTCTGGCCCCTGATCCGAAGGGCAGCGCGGCCGGGCGGGCAGGTGCACGGCGCCCTGAGGGCCGCAGGGAGGGGCGGGCACAGGCGGGGAAGCAGAGCGAGGCCACCCTCCCGGCCCGGAGGCGGGTGTCAGGGAGGACGGGGCAGCCCGCTGGGCCTTCTCACACGGACGTGGAGAATCTCCTGTCGCTTTCGGGAAGCGGGGGCTTGTTTCCCGGTGGCCCACCCCCCAGGCGCTTCGGTGGGGGCAGCGAGGACAGCGGCAGCCGCAGGGGCCCTTCCCCTCCGGCGGAGCAGGGCGCTGGGGTCCCCGGGAGCACGCCCGCGCAGCTCTGAGTCCTCCCGCCACGGGCCGGGCCCGGAGGGGGGCGGCAGGGCCCGGAAAGCGCTGGCGAGAGTCAGGGAAGGCCCGCGACGGCATCCGCGAGTGGTTTACGGGCTCCCCGATGACAGACACGCGGACTGGTGGCACGGGACGGTCCAGAAACCGCCGGCACACGTGGGGCCGGCTGACTTCCAACAAAGAAGGTCAGTGCAGGGACAGCCTCGTGACCAACGTGCTGGAGATCAGAAGTCCCCGCGGGACAAAGACCGCGTTTGAACAAGTGGCTCACGGCGCCCCAGGTTCAAACCTAACACGAAAAACTAGGAAACTTGCAGGAGAAAAGCAAGCGTGCGCCGGACGTGGACAAGCCCCCTCGGTGCCCTGCAGGAGACACGTGACGAAAACGGACGCAGGACGGAGCCGGGAGGAGGCGCTGGCCCAGCACGCGGGCGCCAGAGGGCGGGCGCCAGAGGACGTGCGCTCGGGGCGCGGAACGTCTCAGGCTCGGGCCCTTAAACAGACGATGATTAACAGTCAACTTCACCACAGAACAGTGGGCTTCGCCCACGAGGACACAGGTAGATGGTAAACAAGCACACGAACGATGGTTCCACGGCGTTAGCGCCGGCAAGCGCAGGTTACGGCCACCGCGGGCCACCGCCACACACCTGCTGCAGGCGAGTGTGCAGCGGCCGGCGGGGAAGGAGCAGCGGAGGGCCCCAGCAGCACCCTTCTAAGGGGGCGCTGAGGCAGGGTCAGCCCGCTCTCCTTGGGAAAGGTCCGGGGTCGGGGGCCACAGGGTCCACGCTGCCGCTGCTGCTGTGCGGGAGCACCATGACCACGTCTGGGTGGACGGGGTGCTGTGTGGCACCGAGGCCCCGCCTGGAACCGGAAACGACACCTGCAGCGACTGGGGAGAGCGCACCAGTGCTGAGTGCAAGTGCCGCTCTCGGAGGCAGGCTGTGCTCCCTCCCGTAGGGCATCCGCAGAGGGAAAACCTGAGGGTGCCCGGGGTCAGGCTGCAGAAGAGAGGGGGCCCGGCTGCGGGCGAGGAGCCTGCAGAGGAGCGGGGGGCCGGGCTGTGGGAGGCTGATGCTGCAGAGGAGCGGCGGGGGGGGGGGCTGGGGGGGGCTGCAGAGGAGCCAAAGCCGGGCTGCAGGCAGGGACTTGGGGGAAACCCAGTGTTGGATGGGGACTGGCCATCCACGCGGGTGGGAGGGTCACGGACCGCACACTAAACGCACAGAAACAAAAGCAGGGCCCGGAAGGAAGAGCAGGTGACGTGCCGCAGGGCCTTGCTTGTTTCACTTTTAATCTCAAGACAATCGTGAGTTAGTATCATGGAAATGAGAATCTTTTAAGTGAAACTCCCACCAGCCTCAAAGAGCCCAGAGAGCCGCAGGGGCAGGGGCAGGGGCAGGGGCGGGCGGGCACGGCCCGGCGCCCTCTCCGGGGACGGCGCACATCGCCGAGGCCTCCTCTGTGGAGCGGCCAGCCGGGCTACAGCAGGATGTGGTACTTCAGCGCCCGGGGGACCCGGTTGATGACAAGCCTCCCGTCGTAGCTGAGGGAGGCGAAGAGCCAGGGGTCGGCGGAGGACCAGTCCACGGCGTACACGCTGTCTTCGTGCTCCTCGTAGGTCGCGATGACGCTGTCCTGTGGGGGCTCCTGACCCCTGCAAGGCACCAGAGACACGCATGAGCGGGGGGGGGTGGGGGCGCGGGGCACAGAGATCTCGTCTCCAAGTAAAGTTAGTCGAGCTCGCGTAAGTGGAGGAAGAATTCAGACAACGGAGCAGGAAAGAACCTCCAAACAGAAGGGCCAGCCCCACCTCCCTGCAGGGCTGAGCCGGGCCGTCCCAGGCCGTCGTCCCCGGAAGCCGGGACTCTGCAGGCAGCCCCCTTGCGGGGGTCCGACAGGAGTCGGCTCGAACAAGAAACGTCCCCTGTGACCTCCGCGCTGCCGACAGAAGCAGCCTCAGCCGCACTCCGCTCACAGCCAGCGGCTCTGCCTCGAGCCCGGGGCCGGGCCACGCCTGCTCCGCACTGGCCAGGAGTGGGACCCACAGGGCCCCCAACCCCCAGGAGCCGGACGTTTCTCAGGAGCACGAGCCGGGGCTGAGCAGATGCCATCAGGACTGGAGAAGAGCGCCCGCAAGGGAGTGTTTGGGAACCGTGACGGCTCGGGGCTCGAGGTTTACCACGTTCCGTGGAACCCCGGGGAGGGGCGGGGCGGGGCAGCCGCTGGGGACGAGGCCGCGGCGAGGGCCACCGCCTCCAGATGAACCACACACCTCGACTCCAAGCCCAAGGAGGGGACACGGGTGACAATCTCTCGCTCACAGGGATGGCCGAGCGATTGATGCACATCAGTTCCCGTTACCCCGAAGTGCACGTTTAAAGACCAGTGACGACAGCCTTTCAAATCTCCCGCGTGGCGTTCAGCAAGAAAACGTAAAGACACTGAAAAGATCTACTTTAGGACCCACACGAGGGGACGTCAGCTAATGTGACCCGACCCTGATGCCCCCGTCGCGGGTGCTGACGCCCTCCGGGACCGTGATTCACGCACAGGCCGTGGCAGGAGCGCCCTGACCACACAGCGGGCGCCTCTGCCGGGAGCCACCCGGACCGGGAGCCTGGGGAAAGGAAGCCCGCACGCCACAGAGCGCGCGCCCTTACTTCTCCTCCGGACGGCACTCCTCATGGTCACTCAGGTCATCGTCGTCCACCAGGTGGCCGAAGGGCTCGGAGGAGATGGACACCATGTTGGACAGGATGACCCTGCTGTCGCTGCTGCCCGTGAGCACAAGCTGGTCGTGCGAGTGGTTGTAGCGGACGTTCCACACCCTGCGAGGCAAGGAGGCAGCTCGAGCCGCACTCGGACCTCCCAGACGGGGTCGTGGCGGGACCGTCAGGGCACTGACCCCAAACTGCAGGGTCTGACGTCAGGAAGTTCCCAGGAGAGGCCTAGGCTCACTGCGCTTCTCTCAGACCTTCTCTGACGTCCCGGATAAGAGAGACGAGACCGAACGGAAGCACCCAAAGCCCTAAAATCTAGAACCGCCCCGGAAGCAAAGTACACCGATGAATGGGCGCATGCAGCCCGCCCCCTCCCCCCAGAGCAACGCCCACAAACGCTGCCACAGGCTGCGAGCATGCTCTGGGCCGGGGCCACCGACACGCACGCCCAGGGAGCCTGCGGAGCCGAGCAGCCGTCGGCAGCCCATGCGCGGCAGCCAGCGGGCACTGGCGCCCCCTTCGGCCGCAGCAGTCACAGCAGCTTAAGAACTTGGCAGCCGGGCTCTGGCATTCCAGGTGTCTACTTGTCTCACTGCGGAAACAGCGTGGCTTCCGCTACGTAACTCAAAGGGCTCGGGGATGTAGGCCAGGACACGTCAACTCTCCTGCGATGTGCCCACTCTGGCCCGAGCAAGGACTCCTGACAGCAGCTTCGTCCTTCTAGATGTTTCTTCCACACACGCACACACACACACACGCACCCGTATACATGTAAGTATATACACAAGTGCACACACACACAAGTGCATACACACACCCAGTACAGAGTCATACACCCACACGAGCATGCACACACACAAAAAATATGCGTGCACACACATACAAGCACACATACAAGTGCATGTATGTGCACACAAGCATGTGCACACACAAGCATGTGCACACACAAGCCTGCGCATGCACGCATGCGTACGTCACACTCATGTGCTTACATGTACAAACACATACACATGGCTTATTGGAACAAAAACCAGCTCGCGCCATGCACGTTGGTCTAGCGCTGATCTCTCACACACGGGAAGTACGGGGCACGTGGTAAACACTAAGCAGCGTCTGAGGGGCTCTCCGCGCCTGCACACACAGCTCTCCTGTCTCGCCTGCTGCACACCCCCACCGGACGGACTAACCGAGCCCCTACGGATGGGCACCCGGGCAGTCTGCAGCTTCCCGGCACCACAAACCACGCTGCGTGGCTATCTGTGCACACTGTTTGCACGTTTGAACCGGCACCACTTCGACAGCACGCAGAACGGAAGGTTTTGTTCTTTTCCCGTATTTACAAATCACAAACATTCAGATTTGGAATTAGCATTTCCTTAGAAAACAAAAACGGGCCGAGTGAGCCGGCTGCGCCTTTCCGAACAGGGAGTAGAGAGCAGACAGTGGGAAGCCCCGCCCCCGCCCCGCCCCCGCCCGCGGACAAGTCCTACCAGTGCGAGTGCTCCTCCAGGCTCTTCACGGGCTCCGTGACATTCCGCGTGTCCCAGAACTTCACCTTGCAGTCGTCCCCGCAGCTGGCCAGGTAGTACTGCTTGTTGGGGTTGAAGTCCAGGTCCCGCACCAGCTGCCCGTGGGCGTTCTCGATGCAGTATATCTGGCTGCGGAGAAAGCGAGGGGCGCTGCAGAGCACGCAGCGGGCGTGAAAACTCCCCTCTGCAGACTCGCCCCGTCTCCCGCTCCCCATCGAGTGCCGGCCTTCGGGGGCCACGAGCCTGCCACGGGCCTGCAGGCCGGGGGTCCCCCTCAGCGCCTCCCCCAGCGGGGCCCAGGCCGAGGCTTCCGCAGGAGCACCCCTGCGACCCCCGCGAGCTCAGGAGGGGACACGGGTTCACGGCTGTCACCAATGTGACCTGGCACCTCGAGAACGGGAAGGAGTCAGTGGGACTGCCCCTGCTGTGAGGAGTGCGGACAGACCGACTTCCCGGAGGGCGGAGGGAGAGAAAGGAAACGGCCGGCGGCAGGGCGGGGCACGCTGCTGCTGGTGGCAGGGGACACAGGCGGAAGGATGGAAGAAAAAACCGGAAAAGCAATAAATAGCAATGAAGGAGACAGCGTGTGTCGTGGCTGGGCTGTCCACCCGCTCACGGCCCCCCGCGGTGCTGACACTGCGGGCGCCTCTAACACCGCCCAGTGCGACACAGGAGACAAGGGGCGCTTAGAACATCGGGCACGTGGCACACACATGCACACATCCACACACAGACACGTGCGTCCACACACATGCATGCACTCATGTGCACGTGCACACACATTCACACGCATCTGTACACAGACACAGGTGCATCCACACACCCACACGCATCTATACAGACACGTACCCACACGTGTGCACACTCGTGCATATGCACACATTCACAATCTATACAGACACACATGCACCCACACATACACATGCGCTCACACACAAGCACACACATCTGTGCAGAGACGTGTGCACCCACGTTTGCACACACTCGTGTGCACACAGGCACGTACATCTGTACACATGTGCATCTACACATATGCACACTCATGTGCACTAACACATGCACTCACATCTGCACATGGACACGTGTACCCACACATGTGCACATTCATGTGCACGTGCACACATGCACTCACATTTGCAGATGGACTGCATCCACACGTGTGCACACACTCATGCACATGTATACATCTGTACACACAGACATGTGTGCACACACACGCGTGTATGCACAGACCTAACGGAACCCTGACTTCCACTGCTCCACGCTGCTCCCCCTAGGGTGGAAACGAGAAGATTCCATCCGCATGAGGAGCCCTGACGTCAGAGACCCAAGGGGAGGGGCAGGGAACCCGGGAGGCTGCCGGTGGCTGGGCCTCGCCTGCGACCACCCCGTCCCCTCTCCCCGGCATCCGTGCGGTGGTGAGCCGGGGGCAGGATCACCTCGCGCAGCTGACGGCCATGCCGAGCGCCCTTGAGATGGGAATGTCACTCCCTTCCATCTCCGTGCCGGGCTTGCCAGCCCTGCACCACTGTAAACCCTGACGTGGTTCTTATATCCTGCATCTTTCCAACACCTAATAGTTTTTCCTAAAACAAGATACCCCACACGTGACACCTTCCATGTGAAATGGGCAAACGTATAAAACTAAAACCCCTGCTGGGGCGCTGCAGGGACAGCCACACGTGCCCAGAACACTGACTGAAGCTCTACTGCGTGCCTGGTGGCAGGAATTTTAACACGAAAGCACCGTAGGTTCCAAAAACAACACAAAAAGCCCCCGGCTAAGTGAAAACCAAAGGTGTCGGCAGAAGGAGAACTGGGAGTCAGCAAGGAGTATGACTGCCCTTTGCCACTCCTGTCCCGGGGCAGCCCTGGGCAGAGGGGTCCCCACGGGGCACGGCCACCAGTGCCCCCCGTCTGTCCCGGGGCAGCCCTGGGCAGGGGGGTCCCCACGGGGCACAGTCGCCCAACACCCCGTCTGCTCTCGGAGGAGGAGCCCTGGACAGGGGGGTCCCCACGGGGCACGGCCACCAGCACCCCGTCTGCTCTCAGTCTGGGCTTGGCAGCACCAGTCGCCGAGTTTCTGATCCCAGAGACTGTAGTTCTCCTTCCCGTCCTTGAAGGGACAGTGGGAACAGAGGGAGACGTGGCCACGGGACCCACAGGCGGCACGTCTTTCAGGCTCGTGGCCCTCGGCTTCCGGCTTCCAGCAGATCTTCACACCCCGAGGAAGTGGCAACTCATTATTTATTAGCCCCTAGTTTTCAGAGGGGCCGCAGGACGGAATTCAAAGTTGTGCCCCCACCCTTGAAGGCAACACAAGTTATTTCACGACATCCGTGTCTGCAGCTCGCTGATGGATTAGGGTGTGCTGAGGGGTAAACTGGATCTTAAGAACGATTGCCCGGCTCCCGTTGCCATGGCAACAGATGTGCACACCATCACTCCTCTGCCTATCAAACCACACCTGGAACAGAAAAATCGCTCTTATTTGTTCCATTAGAACCGCCGGCTGCTGCACATAATGACTTAAATGACAAACTGCGGTGACCCGGGAGGTGTGTGTCTTAAAGGCACAGAAACGGTCACAGACAACTCCCCAAGCCTGACCTGGGGGCTGCCCCTGTCAACGTGTGCGGGCTAATCACGGGGACCAGGAGCCTGCGGCCACCCTCCCATTGGTGAGGTGCCACCAAAGCCCGGTCCTAGTTCTCAGGACAAACCGCCACCACTCAAGGGACATCCACACAAAGAGTAACAACTGGGGAACTCGGTCCACCGTGACGGCTCTGCCAGCTCCGGCGGGGGGCGGGGCCAAAGCCAGACCAACGCTTCCTGCAAATGCACGCACACACGTGCACACACAAACACGTGCGCTCACACTCACATGAACACACACACGCACGCACACCCAAGCGTGCACACACATGCACACACGCACAACGCCATGTGCCCCAAATACATCCGACTCAGAGTCGCCCCCTCGTGGATGAAGAGGGGCGGAGATGGGGTGGTGCCCAGGGCACATCCGCGGGGTCACGCCGGCCACTGACCTCATGCTCCGTGTGTCCCACCCTCGGATGGTTGTGTCATTGGCGGTGGCCACCTGGGTGCAGGTGTGGTGAGGGCTCCACCGTCCCGAGGTGAACTTCAGCTGTCCCTTCCCTTCTAGGGACGCCGAGCTGGCCAGCTGGTAACAGATGGTGTTCCCAGGGAAGAAGGGAAAAACAGCATCGTGAACCTTTTCTCAGGAAACTTAAGAGGACACTTGTACGCACAGGACATTATTGAAAATCATTATGGAAAATAATTAGGGAATTCTGTCTTTGTCACCTCCCCTTAAAAGGCAAACGTGTTATTTGGAAAAAAACTATAAAACTGAGCCCAAAACAAAACAGAAAGCGCATGACATTACTAAACCCTGTGCTGGGCAGGACCCGCCGGGTGTGCAGGGTGGCCGGCTCCCAGCCGCTCGTGCAGTCGGCCCCCCGCAAGGCACGCCTGGCCGGTGAGGTCCCCATGGCCACTCCAGGTGCATGTGATCTGGTGCCCCGCCCCCGCCATCTGGAGGGCCTTGAACCCCTTGACCCCGGAGGTCTGACCAGCACCTCCCCCTCCTGAAAGTCAGGGGCTCCGGGCTGTGAGCCTGGAGAGGAACTTCCTGCCACTCGCTCCCCACCCCCCACCCGCCCATGTGACCTATCTCACTGGCCATGCTGTTATTTGATTTGGGGGCTGACCCTCTACCCACAGGGACCTCTGTGCACAGGGGGAGCATCCAGGCTTCGTCTGTGGGCCACTCTGCCACACGTCCCCAGAGGGCGCCACTTCAACCCCGTTACCTTGAACAGCCTTATTCTCAGAGCCCTCGGAGGGTCCCTGCAGCCAGGCCACCGCAGCCCCAGGCCGGGGCCCGAAGGAGGCCTGTGCAAGTCACTGGGGGCAGTAAGTGTCTCCTGTGACCTCCCGGGTCCCGCAGTCCATCCCCCTCCCTGCCTCATCAGGGCCCTGCAGCACGGGCCAGGGAGAGTCCCCAGGGAGCCGACTGCAGCCCTGGGGGAGAACACCCCTTTTCCCCTCGGGGACACTGGCCCAAGTGAGACCCCTGTAAGATCAACTTCTCCGAGGGACCCCTTCTTTCTAGGACGCGCTGCCCTGCCCCACGCTGGGGACGCTTCCCTTCTGTGCACGGCTTCCTGGCTCAAGTTGGCCCAGAAAATGCTCCTTACTGATGCGGGACATCCCGCAGACAGCGAAGCTCGGGGCTCATCGTGCCCTCGCTGAACCCTTCCCGACTGTGCCGGGGCTGAGGGGCCTGATGTCCATCAGCAGGGGGAGGTGAGGCGCGCCTGTGCCGGCAAGCAGCAGGCACAGGCATCCAGCACCCCATGCGTCCTGGGTGGGGACCGCAGGGCCATCTCTAAGACAATGAACGTGCACGGCGTCCCCAGGACAGGGCGCAGCCGGGCGGTCGGTGCCCCAACTCCCCGCGGGCCCCCAAGCTGACACCACTACCACACACGTCCCCGGATTTGGGGGAGCCTCCCCTCGCCTCTGCCCAGCTGCTCCGGGGCTCTCCCCTGCCTGCCCCCAACCCCTTCCCCAACAGGGAAGTCAAAGAGCCTGTCTCCTCAGCAGAGCGGGCCCTTCGCTTCACAACATCCCAGCCAAGGCCTCTGTTCCGCCATCACATGGAGCAAGTGCAACGTATTAATCCTCTCTCTGCAGAAAGTTAAAGGGTTATTTCTGTTCCAGGAAAGAAATGGGTACTGTGGAAAGAAATTAAAAAAAAAAAAAAAAAAAAAGGTTGGGGGGGGACACCTGGGTGGCTCGGGTGGTTGAGCATCTGACTCCTGATCTCAGGTCAGGATCTCACATTCATGAGTTTGAGTCCCGAGTCCGGCTCTGTGCTGACAGCTCAGAGCCTGCTTGGGACTCTCTCTCTGCCCGTCCCCGCTTGTGCTCTGTCTCTCTCTCAAAATAAATAAGTAAACTTGAAAAAATTAAAAAAAAAAAAATAGAAATAGGTACTGTTCCTCCCTACCCATGGGGACACAGTGCTGGCGAGGCTTGCACAAAGCAGAGCCACGGCCGGCCCAGCGCTCTGGGGACACGATGGGGGTCACAGTCACCCAGGGAGCAGCCGGCCCCCAAGGAGGCCTGGGTTGTGCCCAGAAATGACAAGGGAACCATTGGAGACAGAGGCCAAGGCCAGACGGGCACATGACTGGAGCACGAACGCAGGGCCTTCCCAGGTACCCACTGCTGGTGCCCGTGAACGCCACGCCCACATGTGTGCCAGAGTCCTTGGCGGGCCATGGAGAGCCACCGAGGGCAGCAGCTCGGGGCCAGCGGCAGAAGGGCAGAGGTCAGGCAAGCGGTCACAAGGGGCCGAGCAGCCGAGGGAACCGGAGGCCACGGGTGAGCCGGGACCTGGGGTGTCGGGGCAACGTCAGGAACAGCGTGTATGGGGGATTCAGACACCAGAGCTCCCCCCGCCCTGTCCACACCGGCTCTGAGTCCCTCCGGCTCCCTCCAGCCCCCAGGCAGGGGCAGTGGTGCCCAGAGCAGACACCCACAGAAGACCAGGCTGACCCGGAGACTCCCCGAGAAATTCCTGGGGGGTGATGTGGCCGGGCCCAGCCCGTCAGGTGCCACCAGGGCCAGTGGGCAGCACCGAGCAGGTGGGGTGACAAGGACACGCGGACTGCGTGGTGACGGGACGGCGCACTCCGCTGATGAACGGCAGCTCTGCCCGTCCCACCCCGGCACCACACTTCACGGCTCCTCTCAGGTTATCACGGGTACTGGGGCCCCTGGGGACGCGAGGGATGTGGGTCTGGGTGAGGGGGCTCCGCGGGGCGCGCAGGCCACCACCACCAAGCCATAAGCCATGACGACACAGAAGGTCATCGAGGATGACCCTCGAGCCGCGTCACCAAGCCCTCAGCATTCATGTCCCTTCTGACTCCATCAGGGCTCCTAAGAGAAGTTAAATCAGCAAAACTAACAAGCGTCCAACGGCCACACCACAGAACCAGTCTCCGGTCTCCAGCCTCCAGACGATTCCAGCTTTCTGAAGCCAGTTAGCAATTAATCCATCAACCAACCAGCATCCAGCCGTGCAGCCAAGAGCACATACATCGAGTGGCCCTGGCCACGCCCGTACAGCAGAGGGACCGGCAGACAGAGGGTCGGTGACCCAGCCCGCACCACACCCCCCTGCTGCAGGGGTGAGCACCCCACATGAGGCAGCGCTTGCCTCCAGTGGGAACACTAACTGGTTATCGGCTAGCGCGCGGTCCTGTCCTGGTGAGATCACCGCAGCCACACGATGTGCATACTAACAGACCCATTTCCCAGCTGAGGACACCCAGGTATGGACACGGAACAGCGGCCGGTAAACCGCAGGCAGCCTGAGGCATGGCCGGGGTGAGCGACAAGGGAAGTCTGGGCACTGGAGACAGAGCAGAGTGGGGGCGGCCGGGGCCGGGCTTGGGGACATCGCGGGACCCGGGGTGGCCTCTGGGGCTGCGCAGAACTCGAGTCGCTGAAAGCAGGGAGGGCGGGTCCTGCACAAATGAGGCAGAGACGCAGAACGTAAAGATCCTGACTGGACAGTGGTGTGTGCTGGGGGTCGGGCAGAGGGGAGGCGGTGTAGACCGAGTGGGGCAGGGTCTGTGGAAGGTCAGCCTGACGGCCCGAGGGCAGGAGGCGGGACAGCCCTGGGTATCGGCCGTCACACCACAGAGCTGTCCCCGCTGACGGCGTCCTACGTCACGCGAGGTGCCCCCACTGGCCCTCCAGCTTCGATGAGGCTGGCGGCCGAGCTCGGGGCCCGCGAGCAGGGAGCCGCGGGCCAACCACACCCTGAGCTGGGGGCATGTACCCCCGGTCGAGCCCTCGGCTGACCCCCACACCACAGCCCAAGAGGCGAGGGGCGCCAGGCCGCCAGGTCCCTGACGGTCACACAGAGACTGCTGTGCCGAGTGGCAGCCACGGGAGAGAGCCACCTCGGGGTACCGGTCGGAGACATGAGACACGCGCGCAGAGGAGAGGGGAGGCCCCGGGGGGCGGGCCAGCCCAGCCCCCTCCACGGCCGGGACACCGGAGACCGGAGCTGGCGGGCGGCTCCCCGCGTCTCGCGCGGCGGCGGGGCAGGACCGGGACCCGGGCTGTCCCTGGCGCACGGCCCGCCCGGGGCAGTGGACACGCCAGGCCCTACGTCCACTTCCCAGACAGCCGGAGGGGGGCATCGTGGTCGGCGCGGAGGGTGGGCAGCGTGCTGTCCGTCGCACAGTGTGGCTTCCTGGTGACACGGAGGCCGCGCTCTGCAAGGTCCCCACACGCTGACCCGCCTTCCAACACGAAAGAGAAGACCCAAGCCTCCTGCTCCAGGAGGGACGACCCCCCCTTCCGAGACCAGCACCGGCGTCGGCACAGAGCCACACGAGTCCAGGGAAGAAAACGCTGTGACTCGCGCTGTCAGCGGCCACGAGGCCACACCCGGAAGAGCCAGCAAGGCGCCCCCAACACGACGGCCGCACCCCGCGCCAGACCCCAGACCCCAAGCCGACGCGGTGCTGGGGGGGCGGGGGGGCACGGCGGACAAAAGGCGCGTGGGGCCACCGCCGAGGATGGCGGGCGAGTGGCTGAGAAAGTAAGGGCCACCCCCCCCCCCGAAGGAGGATGGCACAGGCTGCCACGGCAGGCCCGCGGCTCTGCGAGCGTCAGGGGCGGAGGCCCCCGCGGCCCCCGCTCCCCCCCCCGGGGACTGAGGGCTGCTGCCAGTGCCGGGTCTCGGCAGGGGTGTGGTGGGGCCTGAACACGGGCAGGAGGACCCCCAGGAGGGCTCCCTTACAAGGAGCATGCAGGGGAGATGTGGGAGACTGCATGCGATGGCTGGAACCCCGCAGTCACCTGGCAGTCACGACGGGAGCCAGGAGCGACACGCGGCTGCAGCGGAAGAGAAGCGTGCCAGGCGGCTGGTGCCGATGCCACTGAGACAGGGAACTGGCCAGCCCGGGGCTGCTTTATCTCCACGGTCCTCCTCGTTACATAACCCCTCGTTCTGTAAGTCATTTCTCCTGTCCTGCAGCCAAACGCGTGCTGACACACCCACCGCTGACACACCCACCACGCCCACTTGAGCCGCGACACCAACAGGGCAAAGCTCCTCGAGTGTGGGGC